TTTGATTTAGCGTGCTGATCTTAAAGGTGCATTGACAAATTTGATACTCCGACTGATGCTTCTGTTGTTGTGGAGTAACTCATGCAGCCAGCTATGGCTCTGGGATTTGCTGTTACATATTATTTATGTAGTTTATTGTCACTGTTACGTTGCAATTATGGCTTTATTTTTTGGTGATTTCAAAAAGTGTTTTGGTTTGGACATGTTTGTTTTGTTGTAGTACGGAGTTAGACTGATGGCCTTAATCTAAGTTTTCTTGTGGTTGTTGTTGTTGTTTGACTTGCATCCCACTGGGATTTTTGCACACAGCGTTGGTGTACGGTGCTTTTTTCAGGAATATTTTGCGGTATTTTTTCATGGATTTTCTGTTTGCACAGTCACATAGTCACTTTAAGATGTTTTTTCTTGTTCGTGTTTTAGTTTTTTTGTTTGTTGTGGTTGCACCCAATTCAAGAGCCGAATGCCTCACAGGGCTATACCAAAATAAATAAACTGAAGCTGAATTACCTGGACCCTGTACTTCACAAAGACGGACAAACATCCCCCCGTGTAGCCTTAACAGAACGCCTATGTCGGTGGGTGACCAAGGCACCACGCCCGGCCGCCTTTGTCTCCTTAGTGGCGATGTCGAACTACACACCGCACCGGGGTACTAACCGGGTCTCACTCCCGCTCCCGCACATCAACTACATCGGCAGAGGGCACTCGTCTTCCATTTACAGAATAAGCTTTTTTTACAATAGGTATACATTGTAATAAAAAAACCAATGTGGTAATTGCCGCTGATGTTGCTGCGTTGGCACCAGCTTATAAATAACAAAGCTCACATTCGTCTACAACACTGTGGGCATTTGAATGCCAAGCACAATGGGCGACGTCTTTGGCAATTGTCCCTTCTTCATTGCACCTAATTAAAACCTCTCCCGTGTGCGACCGTGGTCACCCAGAACATACCGTGCAACATACAGCGACGCACCAACGCCCGATCCACACACGTGCGAAGGAGACATTACCGCAGCGAGAACACTCCTCTAACGCGGGTTCGTCTGGCACGACACACACGAATGTGACATCGCAGTTGTCACACTGAATCTACACCAGCCATGCTAAAGAATTAGAAGATTGCACATCATTTACAGACCATTTTTTTTTATTCGTGCGCTGCCCGAAGAATAACTCCGCCTTAAAGTGTCGGACTTTGTGTGTGTGTGTGGGAGGGGGGGGGAGGGTGTTCAGATATCACGCGCCACTGATGTAAGCCGTGACCGAGCATGGAACTCGGGTGAACCAGGGTTCACGCTTCGTAATGCAGTGAGATAATAACCATCGCGTCATCGCTCCCCCCCCGCCCCCAAACTTTAAAACCGCGAGCGCATTTCTAATGCATTTAACACACAGCTCGATATGCAAGCCTTGCCATCTGAATCAATACTGTACTGTGTATCCCCGGCTTACGCAAAAGGAAATGATCAGATAGCAGTCATCGTCTATCCACCGCTGGATGAAGGCATCCCCACGCCCTTAGTCCATTGCCACGATCATCAATCTCAACCCCTACGCATGACATTGTTTAATCGCCCCATCCCATCGGCGTTGTCTCCTTTGGCTGCTATTACGTTGCCAGGCTCGTCCATCGACCATCAACATCATATCCAGCCACGTGTCCGAACCAAGCCCAGTCACTTCTCTTGTCAACAACCTCGCCTGGTATACATGAGGTCCTGGGTTCAATTACGACCCTGACTCCTGCTGTATATTTGGAGTTTGCGTGTCCCTCTCTCTCTCTCTTCCCCGTGGTCGCGTGGATTTTTCTCTGTTTCCCCTCCGCATTTTAAAATGAACGTTGCGTTTTAGAGTAATTGGCCGCTATAAATGTCCACATAAGCCACTTAGCCGAGCCATCATTTTTGGCCTGGTCGCTTCTGAATAAGAGCTATATAGCTCAGTGGACCTTACATGGTTAAATAAAAACACGTTTATAGCCAAATGGCCTCCATGGCACAACTATTGACTGCGCGGAAATCTCACCATATGGTGATTGTTTACCGATGCCTAAAGGGTTAGGGGGCAAGTGAACCCTGAACTAAAATGTTACTTTTGAGGGGATTGATTGAAAAGTCGGGGCCACATCGTTCAAAGAAAGGATAATTATGAAGCGCTTTACTGTAGTTGTTAACAATGACTGTACAACACCTTACAGCAATATTTGAATTCCGTAATTTTGTAAAGCGTTCAAATTAATTGTCGGTTTGTTCACGAAAAATATTGGAGGCAACGTTTTGATTGTTGTTAATCTTCAAGCCTGGCGAAAAACACACGCAACTCATCCCTCACTTCTAGTGACATTCACGTGTTTGTGCGGTGAACCGGATCACTCGTACGGTAGGCAATCGAGTCTCTTAGCGGCAGTGAATACAATCGCGTTTTCATGATCAAAGGTTTTTGGGTTAGATCGCGTAAATATGTGTCGTTAACCCATCACCACCCGACATCTTCAGCACATCGGTGTGACGGTGAGTAAACCCACAACACATTTACAACCAGCTTCGTCGGGCTATTTCTGCCAGAATTAACGACGCATTAATATTTACGCGATCCAACCCAAAAACCTTTATGATGAATATTGGTCACGGAAGCATGCGTGTTGAATTTACAATGGCGTGCGCTGCCATTTCAGGATGAAGAGAACCCAAGTTCTAGGGGGCCGTCCATAAATGACGTCACGCGATTTTGGACGATTTTTGACCACCCCCCCCCCTCGTCACACAAAGTCAGACCTCCCCCCCTCAAATATGACGTCACAAAGCTCTGCCCCCCCCCCCCAAATATATAAAACATGCTTCAAATCGCTCTAAACCAGACATGGGCAAAGTACGCCCCCCGGGCCGTATACGCCCCGTTGGGCTTTTTAAATATTTTTATTATTAAATTAAATTTACCTTTCTCCTGTAATGCTCCCATTTCCCCATTAGATGGCGCACTTTGACCGGGAGTTACGATATGTTTTTGTATTGTTCATGTTCGTGCAATTTGATAAATTGCCTTGCAAATAAATGCTTTGCTACCTGTTAAAGGCCAAATCCTTTCATGTAATTATTTTTAACACGTCATTTATATTAGTTCACACAAACACTCCATCCAGCTGTTCCTGGCCCGGCCCCTCTGTCAAATTTTAGAACCCCATTGTGGCCCGCGAGCCAAAAAATGTGCCCACCCCTGCTCTAAACTAGTCATTGTGGTGCGTATTTAATGTGGCGCTGCACTCTGATGTTGTAGGAGAAAACATTTATTAAAAAGTCTATTTAATTAAGTAGAACTTGTCTATATTTATTTAAAGTTGCACATTTTGATGTGAGGTCACATTTCTCAAACCCCCCCCCCCTCGTCACAAATGTCTGACCCTCCCCCCAAGGTGCGTGACGTCATTTATGGACGGCCCCCAGGAGTTAAATGAAGCCTTGAATGATTGATGTGGCATGAGGGCTACAACTTTTTTGTAAGGCCGTGATTATGTATGTAGAACTTCTTTCGCACCTTACGTAGCCAATAAACACTTACCCACTTTACATGTCCGAATGTCTGCCTGTTTGTTATTGCCTCGCCGAGCGTAGTAAACCGAGCTCGTACTGAAATTGTTCCTTCTGGTTTATTTTACACGTACAGTCCCTTGAATCCACTGCTGGATGAGGGCCACCACAAGCTGAAGGGCTCAGGTGTGTTTTTGTTTAAACCCTGCTTCATCTAGCTGCTGCTCAGCGTGGTTCTAAGGAAGTTAGCACAGCTGTTGGCGTATAGTACAGGACAACAATGGACTTTGCCGCCCTACGCGATGCTAACAATGTAGTCCAGGGCAGTGGACTATAACTCGTGTTATGATGCATGGTTGTCAGTTTATCGTCATCCAAGCACGTGCCAGGCTCACGCCTGCTGAGCTGCTCAGTGCTGATGAGATGGGGCCGCTTTGTGCGTGATGTGATCATTAGCATCCTTTTTTTGACAAATAGTTGCAAGATTTCTACTTTTAAGTTGTGTTTTTTTAAAAAAAATCGTAATACCGAATGACAATGCATGCCTTTGAAAAACATTAAATAACTTTACAAAAAATGGTAAAGTATGAAAACCACAAATGAACGTGCTCTTAAAACAACTTTAAAAAAAAAAACCTCTTAAAACATAAGGACACGGTGAGCAAACAATAGTAGACTTAACTCATTTCTTTATCGAACTTATACATCTTACAAACCATTAAGGGTACACTTAAACACTACAGCATTTAAAACTTAACATGTTTCGTATCATTATAAAACGTTGTACACGTGGCACACCACCGTAAGGGCAGTACAAGTATATGATGAATGAGAAAATATAAACAGGAACGGGAAGAGATGTCGGGATGTAAATTCCCAAGACGGACAAAGAGGGCACACGGCTCAAGATGATCAGTAGGAAGAGTTATATATATTTAAAAAAAATTTAACCAAGTAAAGCTCGCTGAACTCTATTGCTCTTTTTTCCAGAAGCGACATGGCCACAAATGATAGCTCAATGCAGTGGCTTTATCACGCAGAAATGTATCGCAGCCAAATACTGTAACGCATGTTTCTAAATGTAGAGGGGAAAAAAAACAGAGGACCCGGAGAAAAAATTCACACGACCACGGGGAAGAGAGACACACAAACTCCAAATATACAGCAGCAGCAGCAGGCGTCAGGGTCGGGATCGCACCCACAACTTCCTGTATACCAGGCGAGGTAGTTAACATCTCCTAGCCACCGTGACACCAAAGAAAGAGTGATCGCCGGGCAGAAAGAAAAGGGGAGATAAGGAATGAACGGGCAAGGAAACTGGTGGATGGGAGGGATATGAGAGGGGAGAGGGGTGAGGAGAGAAAGAAAGAAGGAGCGAGAGCAGGTGGCAGCTGCACGGAGAGGGGATGGATTCAGAGGTGGCGGGGGCAGGGGGGGACCACACAGAAGTCACGTGGTTTACAGGAGGCTTGAGCCGATTTATATTTCAGAGATTAATTGAACATTGAGGGTTCGTTGTTTGTTCGACACATTTCCGGTCTGTGCCACTGTTGAGCTTTTCATTAGACGCGCCTACGCCTGTCACCAATAACACCAGTTAAGCTGTATTGTTCATGCGATGTATACAGTATACAACTAAATTCCATTATATACTGTATACATTTTCTGATGAAATTTGTGCATTATATCATTAAATTATGGTAAAAAAAACAAGACAAGATTTAGCTTTTGTTTCCCTATTTTTACTAAAGGGCACTTGCCAGTAAACATGGAATGTTGGACCAACGTTGGTCCAATGGTTCCAACCACATGGGCCAACCTTCGAGTCTTTACCGAGCCTTTCCCATGCACATTTTATACAAATGCTGAATTTACAACCATAATCTCTCACCATCAGTTAAGCTCTCGTACTTGGTCACAGATCCATATTGTCCCTGTTTGCACAGTTGTATGTTTCATGACACCCCAAAGATCCCCCATACAGCCTTAACAAACTGTAGGAACAAGCAAGCACCAATGAAGGCCCGCACGGCACACAAAGGGGTGGGTGGCCAGCACCATGCTCAGCTACCTTTGTCTCCCCAGTGGAGATGACTCCACACCACACCAGGTACTCATTCGAGGCCGAGTCGATCTAGGGAAGGCCCAGGATCGGTTCAGATAATTGTCACTGGTATTGGTCGTGTGCAGGTTTGTAGCGCAGGGCGCTAACTGCTGCACCACCGCTCCCCATTCATGGCACCCCATGCACAATGCAACACACATTTCATTGTCGATGTTCTATTTGCTGTTGATTTCATGCTCCCATTGCTTGCTTAAGAGATCTTCAATCATTTTTTGGTGGCATTCTCTGATTTTCTTTCTGCGACACGAGGATCATAAACATGAACAGTGCCATCGGAAATTTAACAGAAGCTGCCAAGTGCACAAAAACGCATGGAGAGGTGCATGCTGGGAATTACACTGTACGTATGCATTTTTTATAATAATAATAAGATTAAAAAAGCACACTCATGCACTTTAAACATTGCTGCTGTTGCAAGAGTGACTGCAAGACGGAAAGAGGAGCATGTGAATTAGGGAACATGCCACAATTTACAGACCACAAATTTACCTGTTAATTGAGTAAGTTGGCTTGGCCAGGTCATATCGTTCGAAGGTACGATGGACTGGCGGTCGAGACTAATGACAGAGTGCCAGTCAAACGATGAAACACACTCATGTGGTTGTCCGTTGTGGAGATGGAGTGATGAAATCCACTCGTGTCCAGGCGCTCGATGCATTATTTTCATCGCAACACCATGATAGATGGCAACGGCTTAAGGGAGGCTCTCACGGCCTATGACGACAATTCATCTATTTAGTGAATGCTGTGGTGATGGTGGTGGCTGGTAGAGTTTCTGGGCGGTAGCCATTCCTCTCCCAGTGTTTGTGGGGACATTGTTATTATTGACGCCCCCATGAACTTTGTTCGTTGTACGACTTGAGAGGTTGCCACAACTCTAGGCCAGAGCCTCTTTAACCGCCACTTACAGACCATACGCGTCCCCACTGTTGCTCAAGACATTGACAGTGGAGGGGGGGCGGGGGTGATGGATTCTAGCTGAAAACAACGGTGTCGGCACAGTGGCATCAATACCTCTTGACCATGATCTATTCCGAGGAATGCCCCTTGCAAAGACTTCAGAAATTACGGAGATCCAGCCTGCTTCTTTCCTGGTCCTCAACATAAAATAATCCCCCCCCCCCTCCCCCACCCATTCGTCCATTCGTCATTCATGTTGCCCCGGCCATCTCCATGGCGGCCTTCTGCATGCGCTGAGCCACGCACATGAGCCGGTATCTCTCGTTGAGGTTTCTTGCACGCACGTGGGTGTTTTTTATCTCCTCCACGCATCCGGCCGGAAACCAGCCCTTCTCGCCGTCGGACAAGCGCTCGCCCTCCATCCAGTCTGCAGCACGCCAAGCATCGGGCGCGCACACCGCGCGCAGGACAAACGGACCGACAGGGTTCCTCAATTAGGGATGTTGTGTTCCCGATTTGCGGGTCTGACAAATTCCCAAGAAGAGTTGGGTCGAGATGCGAAAAGAAAAAAAAGTTTCGGGTCGATACCAAAATGTGATGTCACAAGAAGTAGCGGCGGCGCGTTAATGGCTTCACGTCGTTCATGACGTCCTGCCAAAAGTGGTGTCATGTGACTGTCGGGTGATGTCACTACTCTCAGCACGAAGACACGCTATATTGAAAAATGATGCTAATGATTTTGAAATCCGAAAAAGTTTGCATAAAAAATTTAGAATTTTCTAAAATCCAAAACCAATTTCGCTATCCACCATAAATATACTGCTCAGGATGGGGCCTGTTAGTGAGCACCTATTAAGGGTGGCATGACAACTACGGGGGTGGTGAGTGGCCAGCACCATGCCAAACTACCTCCCGTCACCCCAGTGCTGATGTTTACACAATGCACCGTGTACTCGGTATGAGGCCAAAGTCGACGGAGGGGAGGCCCACGACTGGTTTTATCCACTGATGCTCGCCAGGGCCTGGAATAAAACTTCGGCCACCAGGTTCGCAATGTGGTGTTCTCACCACTATGCCACCATTTCCCACAATGGCGCGCACACACGCATCTGCATTACGAAAGACTGTCACACTCTGCATTGAGCACACTGGGACAGGTGGGAGTTAAGCTGTGGCTTGGATTATAGCCCTGTATGGGTACGCCTGGTGATGGTACTGGTTGTATTTTGTTGAGCGAAGCAGGTGGAGTGGATCTGTATTACCGTCAGCCGTCTTTCTGAGGACGTTGATGACATCGGCCTCCTGCAGGCTCAGTTCATCCAACTGGGAAGCCTTGTACTCACAGATGCACTGTACCTGGGGACAGTCTGGATGACAAACGGCTGCTCAGTCTTATGCACCGCCAGTATATAGCTCTTTGGGATGATTCGGGTCATAGTACGTGTTGTCTGCCACGAAGTCTAACATCACCGAAGGTTCCAGAACGTGGAGCAAAACGTCGGACATCGTGCCAAACAACCCTGATACGCATCTCAGAGCTGTAGAGCAAAACCGCGAAAAGATACGGAGGGGATTGTCTTGTATATATGATTTACAAACAAAACGATACAAATTTTACCTGCACATCTTACTTCGAAAATATCACGGCTTTGAGAACACAATTTACAGTGGATTCACTTTACATCACACAAATACTTGATGCTACCAAACATCTCAGTTTGCCTGGGATAGTCCCAACGTCTCGATGCTTTGTGATTTTTTTTTTACCAGGTAAGGCCCACTGAGCTCTATAGGTTTTTTTCAGAAGCGACCTGGCCACAAATGATCACAACAAAGTGGCTTGTCACATACAATTTTATAGCAGCCAAATACCCTAAACGCATGTTTCTAATTGTGGAGGAAAAAAACGGAGGACCCGGAGAAAAATCCACGCAAACACAGGGAGAACAAGCAAACTCCAAATATACAGGCGTCAAGGTCGGGATCGAACCCATGGCCTCCTGTATACCAGGCGAGATAGTTAACATCTCGCCACTGTGGTTTGAACTGGAGGGGCAAATCATTGAGTGGGTGAGGCTATTCTAAAATGATGCGCGGCTGACAGAGGCAGGAGCTGCCATCTCACCACACATCCCAGTTGAGCCTCCCAGCCATTTGGTAGCCATTAAAAAAACCCTTAATTTATGTCGAACACAGCTTTAATGTACTCACTCCAGTCCTCGTAAATCTGCTCGCTGCTGTCGGTCTCCTTCTTGGGCGGGCAGATGGCATCGGCCCAGCGCTCCATGTCACTCCTGCAGATGCAGCAGACTTAGTGCACAAAGCTAAGACTCCAATAACAATGCTAGGATGTGTCGAACTCTCTTCAAGAAGAGAACTGAGAAGGCTGTAAGGCGCATAGCGAAAGTTCGTACAGCTGGCGTGAAACCATGAACCTTCAAGCATTATGCCTGACACACTGTGGCATTGCCATTCAACACTTCTTTCCGGTCTTCTTCTTCTTTCGTATGGCTGATGTAGAAGCAGAGCAACAAGTGAAATTTCACATTCAGGTGGTCAAGCCCACATAACCACGTTAGTAGCAGTGGGGCGCGCATCGTTGTGATGCCTCCTTCGTATTTGTGGATCGGGGCATTGCGTCATTATACGTTGTGTTCGAGCTGACCACGGTCGCACACTGGAGAATTTTTTTCGGATCGTTTTTTATTATTTCTTGTGATGGCTACCAACTGATCAGACAAGCGAGACAATGCCAAAACAAGACCTTCGTGCGTTTCACGTTGAAACTGGGTCAAGCCAGAGAAATGAGATTTTCCTATCACCCAACTGGAGTGCTCTGGGCGAAGAGCTATGGGACTAGGCCACAGCTTGAAGGACATGCCTAGAAGAGGCCCTGATAATATCTCAGCCAAGGCTCCATAGTCAAAGCCTAGATCTAGATTAAGACCTCATGGAGAAGAGCCATGGTAACAAGAATGCAGGTGCTACCAGGAGTGCTTACTTACTGCCACTAGCAGGCATAACCTGAGGCAATGCACAAATAGTACAATACTATGAAGGGGACCGTGTAACTGAAAATCTTATTTTCCTAGTGAACAGAGCAAGTAGGCCCACACAAACAAAATCACCCTTTTCACACACCACCACAATCATCTGAGAATAGGTTGAGTAGGACATTTTATCCAGCACTGTATTTGTGCGAGGGATTCACGTGTATTAAGTGGCCCGGCGTGCATGCGTGGATGTGTGAGGGGGACTTACGGGGAGGACACCTGGAGGAGCTTCTCTGTGTGTTTGCCCATATGGTTCTCCAGCAGGACGAGGAAGAAGGAGTTCTTGTTGGCGACCTCCGTGTCCGAGTTGGGTTTCACCTGGAGCATGGCTCGATGCACGTGATCAACGACGACGAATTTACTGCAGCACACGGATACAGAGGAGGCACGCGGTTACAGGGGCACGCGGTGACGAGGGCGGCAACGACCGGGCTTTAAACATTGGTAACGATGTCATAAAAAAATAACAAATGTGTTAAACATGTGTGAAAATGTCGCGGGAGAGTTCCATTTCCTTCCAAAAGTCAGATTTCTATTCTAGGAGGCCCTGTTATACTATCGTGTAACTTTACAGTCATTCAATCACGACCATCTATATTTACTGTATTAACAGTAATATGCAAAACAGTAATAATCTTATATTCTTAGCTCTTTCGGTAAAGTCACGTTGTAGGGAAACAATAAAATAATAAAAAAATATATAAAACAATAAAAATTCTCACGTTTCGACCATATTTATATGAACAATTTATTTATATAAATAAATTATTTATATAAATAAATACATTGATCGTGTAGATACATTAATGCAAACCGACACACCTGATGACGACCGTTTGTGTTATGGTCGAAACGTCATGAGAATTTGTATTGTTTTATATATATTTTATTATTTTATTGTTTCCCTTCAACGTGACTTTACCGAAAGAGCTAAGAATATGAATTACTGCAGTCACGAAAGCTTTAAATCAGAAATAATCTTCCCAAAATGTATTTCCAACCGTATACCCCAACGCAGTTTATCTGGGGGAAACGGGATGGGATACCCTGGTTTAAAATATCCAGTCCCAATCGGGGATTCACTCATTTATCTGGAGGACGTGACCACTGAAATCCTTTTAACCATGGTCTGGACCCGGGATATTTGGATGGCCACACCTGCTGGATATTTGGAAGAAGTGAGAACCGGGTTTTGCCAGCTCAGAACAGAATAATCGGGTCACAAATTAACAGAATTTAACTCTGTACTTCTCACTGCTCTATCATAAGCAGTGTTAAAAGGTAACCTGGCAGTTCTGCAATTTCCATCTTCATGGCACTGCGGGGAAAAGCGCCTCCCACTAAAGGGAGGGTATTTGGCCTACTCATCCATGCTGACCAGACACCTTTGGGACAGTTTGGAGCACACAGACACCTTGACCCCACCGTAAGTGACCTGCCGATCTTCTGCATTGTACAGGCAAGGAGAGGGGGGGGGCAGGGGGGACTTTATGAATCTCGCACCGTTGTTTCTACCGCCGCTCTGAAGAGATCGGATTAAATGGGAGACCGCTGGACTGCACGTCCGGTGTAATACTATTACACCAGGGCGGTGTGAAAACTCATTCTTTATAATTGTTTCACGTCGTCCTTTCCCCGCACCTCTAATTTGCACGGTTGGCAAAGTGCGATGCGAAAAAAAGTTCAACATACAAAGTGCGTGTGTGTGTGTGACAATGTGGGGAGCGGTAGTGTAGCGGTTAGCGCGCTGCGCTATGAACCTGGCGACCCGGGTTCGATTCCCGCTCACGGCCAACACCAGTGACGATTATCTGAACCGGTCCCGGGCCTCCCCTAGGTCGACTCAGCCTCAAATTAGTACCTGGTGCGGTGTGTAAACATTGTCACTAGGGAGACAAAGGCGGTCGGGCGTGGTGCTGGCCACCCACCCCCTCGTGTACCGTTCCGGCCTTCATAGGTGCTCGCTAACAGCACTTGCCCCAACAGTCTGTCAAGGCTATACGGGGGATCTTTGTCTTTGTGACAATTATACACAACGGAGCGCAGTATAAACGTTATCAACAACGTACTCCCTCTTCTTTGAGCACAGCAGAAGCATATCGTTGAAGAGAAACATGTGGATGGGAGTCGCCTTCTGTCGCGATATGATCATCGTCCCCCTCTGTGTCAGCTCCATCACCTCGCCCTGTTTCACCAGCCAGCGGTTCTTCGATATGAGCCCGATGGTCTGCAGGGGAAAGACACACGCACACCGCCTTCCATGCACTGCTAGACATTGCAAGTGTTGTATGGACTGCATATGTACATGTACAGCCCCTTTGTCAATCCACTGCTGGATGAAGACCCTTTCCCCCACACCGTGCGGGTCGTGGTGATTATTTGCCCATACTTCACCATGCTGGTTAGTATGAGTTTATGAAGGGGTGGGGGGGGGAGCGCGCAAAGACGTGGCAGCATAGAAGTATGGTACAACACTGAATTTTTGTCGCAGCACTGCCACCATGTATTCCCCCTCGGCCCTGTGACAAGCTATTTGTGCATGGTGGTACCCACGGTGAAGCCCTAGACTATTTTTGCTTCAGACGGCAAGGCGCTATTTAAGCCAAGCAGCTCTTTGGCAAAGGACGACCACAGCCCAAGACTGTCGGCAGTCCTGGGGACATTGCAGAGGGGGAATGAGCAAAGTAGGACGAGCAAAGAAAACGGATTGTTTGCACGAAGCACCACGCCGAAAACCTACCGCAGACACGATGAACTATTAATGGTGCTTAAAAAACGAACAAAAAAAAGTGTAAAAATAACTTGTCTGTATATACAGCCTCAGACGTACTGAAGCTTTGTGGGAGCTTATTGGAATCACTATTGAGGCTCAAATCCTGATTAGATTTTAAGATCTTACCAGGTCTTGGGTTGCATAGTTACAACACAATTTAGAAATATGTCCGTGCGCTGTTTTGCATCTAACAGGCCTCACTGCTATTGCTGATCGTGACATCGGGCAACTCAGCAGCTTCTGCTTAAATAAGACCCTGCTGATGAGACTCCAGAAGTCAAAGCTGCTCCACCAGAGTTTGCCCTCTTTAAACCAGGTGCTGCTGGAAAACATCGGTCCACAAGGCCCATCGGTCAACGGACAACAAAATACATTTCATGAGACCCTTTTTTACCCAGTATCAAGAAAATGAAAAGAGAAAATGATTTACCCTTTCTGCCAATAATATTACAATACAGGAGGTGTTAAGATGTTCAAACACCCAACAGACACCTATCACAACCCACCAAGTCTGCACCAACCACACATGTAGACCAATCAGTTTCAAGGACAATGCAGACATCGTAAAAGCATATTTCTTTGCATGTATTACTACAAGCATTGCGGTTAATGCAGACTTAATTTATGTAGAACTGCTTTTTGTGTTTAGTTTGTTGTCCTTCCCCCACACCTCCGATTAGCATGGTTGGCTACGTACGGTGCGAAAGAAGTTCAACATAACATGGGACCTTTCTTGCCAGTATCAAAGTGCAAGAACAGGTTTTACCCTTTCTTGAAATAAAAACAGATGTTAAGATGTTCAAACACCAAACAGAAACCTTTTGCAAGCTACAAAATGTTGCAGCTGCTCAGCCCGGGCTATGAATGCGCTGATAGTGGCATTGTCTTTGTGCTGTTCACCTTTTGGCGTTGTTCTCTGGTCTGACACTGGTTGAGACTAGGCCCTAAAGAAGGCTGTCTCTGGTGTAGACCAATCAGTTTCAAAGACAATGCCCATGTATTACCAGAGCATGTTTTTATTTGCATGTTCACCACAAGTACGTGTGGCGAATGCAGACATGATTCCTTGCAGAATGTTTCTGTTTGGTGTTTGAACATCTTAACACAACTGTTTTATTTCCAGAAAGGGTAAAAACTATTCTTGTAAGTTAAACATACATACTTGATGCCCTGAAATGGGTGTCTCTATTTGGTGTTTGGTATCTTTAACACATGTGTAGTAGTCGTAGATGGAGACGGAGTAGGAATTAAACACTTTTATTGATGTCCTTAACAACGATTCCCTAGGTCCTTAACACGAAGGGGTAACGGCCCCTTCTACCCACAACCTAGGGAGGTACAGCCTCCGGGCTATCGTACCCTAGCCGTTGGCCCGACAACTCATATAGCCCTCCGGCTAGCTGGACCTAGGGGAGGCTGACCCACCGCTGGCACCGGTGGGTCTCTGACCACTGGCCCGTCCAGACCCGGTCCTGAGAAGGACATCGGGCTGAGGGAACCTCAGGGTCCTAGCCTGCTGATCACTGGTACCGCACTGAGCCCCGCCCTCAGAAGGACGTCGGGGCTTGGGGTCCAGGATCTCCTCTTTAGGCGGCTCCTCGGCTTCGGCTTGAGACGAACTGAGCTCTGCTCTCAGGAGCCCACCTTTTATACGATTTCCCCCACCGAGGGGCGGGGTTCTGAGGGATCACAGATCCCCCACAGCGCCCTCCCCTCAGGAGGGGTTCTGGCCACAGGTAGTCCAACCAATCTGTGTTTGTTTGATCCCACTTTCTGTCTAGGACCAGGGCTCCGGGGGATCCCACACACACACACACTTCACAGCCTCCACCCCTCATGCGGGGTCTCAATCAGGGTTATGAATGACCCCGCTCTGGTAGGTACTGTGCAGCATGTGCGTGTTTACAGAGTGACCACCACACATGGGTTTTCACGACCAATATCATCCATAATAGGTTACTTAGGCGAAACATCGTACTCAGATTGTAAATGTTGTGGCTTGGCTCTCCAACACACCGGTGTGCTGTACCAGTGACGAATTGGCACGTGCTGTTTACGTGACAACCCTTACTAGTTGGCTATGTCGAGTGGTGGCAGGGTTTTAACGACACATTTATATATTTACGCGATATAACCCCCCCAAAAAAAACCTCTCTATTGGCGTTTGGTTTCTGCTTACGTGTAATTATAAAAATCTTGCGACAACGTTTTTCAAGTTTCAACTCTGCTCTGGGCCTTATTCATTTGAAACTTATTTCATCTCATTCGTTTCTCGACGAACATGAAAGCTCGTTTTAAAAAGGGGCTTCAGCACACTTCAACGGAGGGAAATACGAATGTCTAAAATTTACAATTATCTGGCCTCGTTTATTGGCGCAAAAAGTATAAACACGTGCGACTCGCGTGAAACATTTGCCCACGTGCTAAGCTTTAAGGTGCACCTTCTGAGGGGTGGCTTTGTTTACTAATATTGCCACAGCCCAGTGAGGGTCAACGGTTGTCAGTGCTAGAGGTCAAACGCCCTCAGGTAAAATTTCTCTCACCTTTACATTCTCAAACACGATCTGTTGACAAATGTTGATCATCTCTTCCACTTGCTGCATTTTACGAACACTTTCATTCGACTCCTTTATCACCTGCGTTCGTGAGGCAATTGGAGGAAAAAACGCATAGAAACATTACATTCAAAAACACAAGGCTGAGAAATCACCACTGCCAATGTTGTCAATGCCATCACACCCCGCCATCACGTCTATCCTCCTGCGAAAACTTCAGATCCGTTGCAAAGTTAACCCCTTTCGCATTACGATGATGTGCACACACAAAACATGACAGTGACTTTTCCAAGACAGAGGTTCTTTGTAAGCCATCTGGCTACCATGAGAGATTCGTTCATGAGGCTATCCACATATACAAGCACAGAGACAATTTCAACCGAGAAGATGGATTCTGGCTTAGCAATCATTGGAAGGATTTGATAAACCATTTTAGGTCTTAATTGATTGTTCACGCTTACGGTGGCTTTCAGACAGCATACATTAATTTTTCGTCTCCCCCCTCCTCTTTTCAGAACATAGATGGACTCGTCCTAAATAAACTGCCAAATCGCTGCGCGTGGCGCTGACGTTTTTTTTTTATAAATAAATACACCGTTTAAAAAGAAATTAATTAATGCAAACCGACATTTCTTTCAAATGTTTCTTGCCATTGTTTTTTTTCACACCTGATGACGACCGTTTGTGTTATGGTCGAAACGTCGTGAGAATTTTTATAGTTATATATATTTGATTATTTTATTGTTTCCCTTCAACGTGACTTTACCGAAAGAGCTAAGAATATGAATTACTGCAGTCACGAAAGCTTTAAATCAAAATTTAAAATTACTTTATCGGTACCGAAGCTCCAACAAGACCATACGGAGAAGGCATCTGGCACAGTTTGGCACATGCTATCATAGAGCGCGGTTGTGTTGCTACAGTTTTCTGCAGTGACTACAATGTCCTTTAAAAACAACGGCACTATGCATCCTTCAAATAAAATTAATGCCGCGCCACTTGCACGCTCCGAGATGCAGCGGTGAACGGGACACCCACTCTGCAACGTGCAGCCATCTAGGAACGGAAAAGGGTTAATACCCGACCTCATCGTTGTGATCATCGATTTGTGATTTATAAAGCGCGCGCAGCGACTGTACGGCCATCTAGTCCTTCGATGGCGACTCTTGCAGTCTCCCACCATTTAAGCTTTAGGTCTCTCCCTTGGTCAGCGACCTTCTGAGTGCTACTGCAATGCCAGTCGCGGTGACCTGCCCTATATTCTGCGCACGAGTCCCACCCATCACAGCCTCCTGTTGATCACACCAACAAACAGTTTCACACAAGATCTCGTTGGTTGTAATGGAAAACCGCTTCGGCAAACATGCTCCTACATCGACTACATATTGATCGCATGCAACTGATTAACAGTGACTGCTGATGAGACGATGAATGTCGAAACTGGTCCAGAGTTTGGTCGTTAAACCAGAAGGCGGCGTGGCTGCTAGGAAGTGTAAAAAAAAAACAAACACGTTTATTTTTCATGTGGATATGGGAAGACGTTTTAGTCTGCTTAGTTATTTTGAGGAACAATTATTAGGATGTCACGTGAAGATGTCGCATGACGCATGGATAAGATAACACCAAGAGCCTCCCCATTAGAATGAATGCGTCACGCTGCAGATAACAGGGTTGTGGTAACTCGCGCGGTGTCAACAAGACTGGCGACCCACATTCACCGCTTGTTGCAGAGGGTTCATGGTACAAATCCAGCGGCCACCCTAATGATAACTGCAGTGTGCAATACCCCTAAAAATACACAAGGTCTGCTCACAGTGTATGTTATTGATCCCCTGATGTCATTCGCAAAAGTGGACCATTGTATGCCGGGGGCATCAGAGCCACATGTGGCAAATTCTAAATTTACCCAAAAATTTACTCAAACCAAAATGATACGTAGGAATCATTGCCCCCTCTACTGGCAGACAGATGTCCATTTGCAGGCCAGGTGCTAAGTCGCCTTGTGCCACACACAGGGGCGGAGCCACAGGGGGGGGCTGGGGGGGGCTCAGCCCCCCCTGAAATTTTGGGAAAGTCGTTAATCGGGATAACTGGATATCCGGCTGCAGCAAAATGCTGCAGGCTGCCACCTTGTGCTGCCCTGCAGGCTGCCACCTTGTGTGCTGCCCTGCAGGCTGCCACCTTGTGCTGCCCTTTAGGCTGCTTGAGCGGCAGCCTTTCAAACTTATTTAACTTATTAGCCACATCAGCGGCTCCGACCTATTAATAAACTCCGCGTTCAAATCCAATAAAATTAGTTTTATAAATTCATGGCGCCCATTGGAAAACATTACAATGGATATCTCAGAATATTTAAGTCAGTCCCCCGCCCCAAAGTAAAAATCCTGGCTCCGCCCCTGGCCACACAGAGACAGCTGCCACTGAGGGTGCGCCTGTCAAGCGTGCGAGATGTAGTGTAGAGTGCTCCAAGACACCCCGGCGTGTACGAGAGCGCTACATCAAGAACGAATCGCGACCATCACCTTATCAAGCGCATCAACGGCATTCACAGCAGCGGCCTCCTCTGGGGATCCTGCCTCTCTTCCTTTCAAGATGTTCTATGCAAACACAAAACACCAAGATGACTTCAGTAATTCGTACAGTTGCAAGTAAAAATTCTGATGCCTTCGAGGGCAAGGACCCCAATATTTGAATACGTAGACAATGTTACAGATCTTCTTTGGTTCTTTCGGTAAAGTCACGTAGAATGAGAATAAAATAATAAATTGATAAAATAAAATAACACAATAATATTCTCACGACGTTTCGACCACAACACAAGCGGACTTCATCAGGTGACAGTCTCGTCCCTTCACCTGATGAAGGCCGCTTGTGTTGTGGCCGAAACGTCGTGAGAATATTATTGTGTTATTTTATTTTATTTTATCAATTTATTATTTTATTCTCATTCTACGTGACTTTACCGAAAGAACCAAAGAAGATGAATCCTTGCTGTCAGGAAAGCTTTAAATCGAAATGTTACAGATGTTTAAGCAGTCCAGAGGCAATAGTGGAAATTCAACATTACTATGGATGGAGAAAGTCCATATCAAGGAATGACAAATGTTTACAAACAACACCGGGTGCTAATTTGAGTCGACTTAGGGGAGGGCCCACGACCGGCTCTGATATCACTTGCCACTGGAATTAGCCGTGGCCGGAAATCCAACCCAAGTGACCTTGTTCATAGCGTGGTGCACTAACCACCAAGTGCTACCGCTCCTCACCAGAACAACCCGGTCTCGGTACCACAGGCGGTGTTGGACATGGTAAGACATTAAATTCCGAACAAACGGAGCCTGAGCGCGCAAAACAAGGGGGAAACGGATTGATGAATACACTCATAAAGTAAAAATGTCAAAATGTTTCCCCCGTTTCAGCGCGTTCATTTAAAAGAATAAAGCAATGTCATATATGTAAGTGTGCTCACAGACCTCTTACGTAATTGTACGGTTTCATCCCGCACACCATTCTGGAGATCCAGAGGGTGGCTGACTGTGAATTTTACACGCACACACATATATATACACACTACCCACCGCTACGGACACTTGTCGCCGGTTCTGTCTGGAAAGAAAGCAGGCTGGGGTTCAAATTCTCACTCCCACCACGGCGTTGTGTGTCGTTCCGGCCGGGGTCATTATTGACGAGTACACACCGGAATAAAGTCCGCTCACCTCCAGCAGCAGCCTGAGTCGCGTGATTCGTTGCAGGGGCAGGTGCAGGAAGGAGGTGAACGGCAAACGTCCGCACTGGGGCATCTCCTGCAACCGCTGCACCGCTGCACTGAACTGGGAGTTCGACTCCCTGCAGGGGAGGGAGGCAGGGAGGGAGGGAGGCAGGGAGGCAGGGAGGGAGGGAGGGATGGACACGATGTCAAGTGGGCAGCCCTTCTCATCCCCCCTAAGGAGGAGGAAGTGTGATAAACGTCCGAGCCAGGATTGTTTTTTTTAAAGCGGTACACAAACTCACCGTGATTCTCAATTGATGCGTCTCATTGTCTTATACGTGTGTAGTGTTTTGATTTCACGCGGGCAACGTCTTTCTCTCCTGTGTCACTTTTTATTGAACACCCTCGAGTTCGACGCCACGTGACTCCGTCGCGATACTCCCTGCTTGCACTCTCGTCTGCTCCCCCCCCTCTCTATCCTGCTAGCCTGCTCTCTCTCTCCTAGTCTCTCCACTGCTAGCCTGTTCACTCTCTCACTCTCCTAGCCTCTCCACTGCTAGCCTGCTCTCTCTCCTAGTCTCTCCACTGCTAGCCTGCTCTCTCTCCTAGTCTCTCCACTGCTAGCCTGCTCTCTCTCTCCTAGTCTCTCCACTGCTAGCCTGCTCTCTCTCTCCTAGCCTCTCCACTGCTAGCCTGTTCACTCTCTCTCCTAGCCTCTCCACTGCTAGCCTGCTCTCTCTCTCACTCTCCTAGCCTCTCCACTGCTAGCCTGTTCACTCTCTCCTAGTCTCTCCACTGCTAGCCTGCTCTCTCTCTCACTCTCCTAGCCTCTCCACTGCTAGCCTGTTCACTCTCTCTCCTAGCCTCTCCACTGCTAGCCTGCTCTCTCTCTCACTCTCCTAGCCTCTCCACTGCTAGCCTGTTCACTCTCTCCTAGTCTCTCCACTGCTAGCCTGCTCTCTCTCTCACTCTCCTAGCCTCTCCACTGCTAGCCTGTTCACTCTCTCTCCTAGCCTCTCCACTGCTAGCCTGCTCTCTCTCTCTCACTCTCCTAGCCTCTCCACTGCTAGCCTGTTCACTCTCTCCTAGTCTCTCCACTGCTAGCCTGTTCTCTCTATCCTAGTCTCTCTACTGGTAGCCTGCTCTCTCTCCTAGTCTCTCCACTGCTAGCCTGTTCACTCTATCCTAGTCTCTCCACTGCTAGCCTGTTCACTCTCTCTCCTAGTCTCTATCCTGCTAGCCTGCTCGCTCTCTCCTAGTCTCTCCACTGCTAGCCTGTTCACTCTCTCACTCTCCTAGTCTCTCCACTGCTAGCCTGCTCTCTCACTCTCCTAGCCTCTCCACTGCTAGCCTGTTAACTCTCTCTCCTAGTCTCTATCCTGCTAGCCTGCTCACTCTCTCCTAGTCTCTCCACTGCTAGCCTGTTCACTCTCTCACTCTCCTAGTCTCTCCACTGCTAGCCTGTTAACTCTCTCTCCTAGTCTCTATCCTGCTAGCCTGCTCGCTCTCTCCTAGTCTCTCCACTGCTAGCCTGTTCACTCTCTCACTCTCCTAGTCTCTCCACTGCTAGCTTGTGCTCTCTCTCCTAGCCTCTCCACTGCTAGCCTGGTTCTCTCTCCCACCCCTAGCCTCTCCACTGCTAGCCTGTTCTCACTCTCCAAGCCTCTCCACTGCTAGCCTGTTCTCTCTCTCACTCTCCTAGCCTCTCCACTGCTAGCCTGTTCTCTCTCTCTCACTCTCCTAGCTTCTCCACTGCTATATTCTCCAATAGCTTCTCTACTGTTAGCCTTCTCACACTCAGGATTCCGCCAGCCTCTCTACAGCCAGCCTCTCTACCGTCAGCCTCTCTACCGTCAGCTTCTCTACCCTCGCCCCTCCAACCTCGCCCTTGCCTCCAGTGGGGGTTCAGCCATCACCGCTGGAGAGGGCCAGGTGTGGGGAGGGGGGCCTGGGACTTCACTCCGACCGACTCAACTCCCTGTCTCTCACACGCTCCCGTATATATCCCCCTCCTCATTAACTCCTCATTAATTAAGCTAGAGACCTAGTCTCTCCACTGCTAGCATGTTCTCTCTCACTCCCCTAGCCTCTCCACTGCTAGCCTGTTCTCTCTCTCACTCTCCTAGTCTCTCCACTGCTAGGCTGTTCTCTCACTCTCCTAGCCTCTCCACTGCTAGCCTGTTCTCTCACTCTCCTAGCCTCTCCACTGCTAGCCTGCTTCACTCTCTCACTCTCCTAGCCTCTCCACTGCTAGCCTGTTCTCTCACTCTCCTAGCCTCTCCACTGCTAGCCTGTTCTCTCTCTCTCTCACTCTCCTAGCCTCTCCACTGCTAGCCTGTTCTCTCACTCCCCTAGTCTCTCCACTGCTAGCCTCTCCTCTCACTCTCCCTCTCCTAGCCTGTCCACTGCTAGCCTGGTTCTCTCTCTCCTAGTCTCTCCACTGCTAGCCTGTTCTCTCTCTCACTCTCCTAGCTTCTCCACTGCTATATTCTCCGATAGCTTCTCTACTGCTAGCCTTCTCACACTAGCAATTAGATTGCATTTAATTGCCGAATTTAGTTGCGAGAACTGTTCCTCAACTTACTGGTGAGCGAAATCAATAAGATTTGGTGCATCACACTTGACTATTAATTTGTTTGGCTATGGTCACGTGGTGGAGGGGTCTTCATGACACAAGTTTGGGCAGATCATTTTGTGACCCAAACCAAAACTCAACCGTGAATCATTGGCTAGGAAAACATATAGTTAACTCATTATGCATTGTCGTAAGACATTTATGGGTAAAGGAAGCACAAATAAGCAGAAATTGGTGATGTCTTATCACATATATGCAAGTGACACATGTTTAGCCCATCAGCCCATTGCCTTTACAGACCAATACTATCAAGGGCTTAATGAGGGTTCCATATTTTATATTTCGTACTCTTGCCAGTAACATCTGACAATCCAGCCACATTTGTTTAACAATTCTGGCTCTGCTGTATGAGACTATGAAGGGTGAAACTGCTCCGGTGTTTGCTTGCCTTAAACAAACACTGCTGGATAAAAATGGGCTGTAAAAGGAAAATAGGCTGATAGGCTGAAATAAATGTTAGTTGTATATAGAGATACAGGAGCATATGTATGTATATGCTCCTTGTAAAAGTGCATACAGGATGTCCATAAAGATACCACCCATTGTTAACATCTTCATTAGATAGCAGTTTGAACTGCATGGTGCGAAGCATTGCCAATATATTATTAATATACCCAAGTTGTTTAAGCCGCAAAGCATGGGTGATTGTCAACAGCGCATGACAGAAGCATTTGAAAAGCAAGACCGAAACTTTGGCGAACACTTCTCCAATCTCCCATTCGATGCGCATTATACAAACTACGTCTGTCGACACGAGTGACATGCCGCTAACTGGGCCTCGGCAAATTTGCATATGGGGATGACCTTGCACTGGAAACGCGAGCAAGCCATTTTCAACGACATCGAATCCACTCTGAACCAAGACCTAAACACCATGGGGGGGGGGAATATTTCCAGAGATTGGAGGCTCAAGCAAAATCCCCACAAAATAAAGTCACTGCAATTAATCTTGATAATATGAGCGCCAGGCACACTGTGAAAGTGACCTTCTGTGGCAGCACTGTGCAACGCGACCCCACGCCAACCTATTACGGAGTGAAGCTGGACACTTTACGCTAAGCTCCCATGACCATCTGAAAGAGGTAGCCGCCAAGCACAAGCCTGGGAGCATCAGCACCCAGTGCTACGGACATCAACGATGGCCCTTGTCTACTCTATAGCCGAGTACTCGGCACCAGTATGGATCAGAAGTAGTCACACTCGACGTGATGATGTTCAACTGAACATATCACTGGAACCCTCGATTCGACCCCAACACCCCAGCTGCCCGTGCTGTGTCACAAATCTCTCCCCCGCCCATCCGCTGCAACGCTGAAACCCTCCGGGAAGTTCTTTGAAACGATGCAAACAGTCGCCTTTCCAATAGTAAGGACATCAGTAACATCCCTCGTCATTGCATGAAGTCACGCAAACCCTTTTGGACTCGTGCGCCAAACCTTAAACAATGCGAATTTAACCCCGATGAAGCTTGGAAAACTAAATGGAGTTCAAAAGACCTCGCAAGAAAACACCTTGTGAAATAACCAATGCAGAATATCCCTGGGTTTGATCATCCACAAAGCTCATGGTCCACCCTAAACCGCATCCAAACAAACCATGGCAGATTAAGATACCTGATGCACAAATTAAATCTTAAAAACTCTCCAGTAGTGTGCGACTGTGGTAATCCAACGTATAACGACACAATGCCTGATCCACGAACACGCAGGAGACATAATTCCACCGATTCTGACATGGTTATCTGGCTTGACCACCTGAATGTGAACATTGTAGTTGTTACTCTGCATCTACAATCGGCCATATGATAAACAAAGAAGAAAATACAAACATAGTTTCCACCTGCGTAACCCACTCATGGCTCTCGCACAATAAAACACAAACGAAAAAAGGCACGTGCACATTTTGAACCGTGGCGCAAAAGCCACACCACCACTCGCGTGCGAGAAGACCACGAAACACTACGGTCTTGCGCAATAACGTCACACCTTGATTGTCGCAGATAGTGGAATTTGGCCAGAGTCGTTGGGCTGCCACAGGCACCGAACTATTTGCACAAAGTCGCCGACTGCTGCCAGCCAGATGACTCGGCGGCAGAGCAAGCGGCTCGCAATTGGAGTTCAAATCCTGGTTAGGGGGGCGGGGTTGACTCGGCCCATCATCCCTACCGTGGGTCACTAAAAATGGAAGACCATACAGTGGGGGAGTCCAGCAGCTGTCGTCCTATGGGTGGAATTGCCTCTGCCATAGGAAATGGGGAATTTCCACCACTGTCTCAGGGCCGTGAACGATGTGTGTGAGCACTGCCTTAAGGAAATATTTCTTTAATTCCAAATTGTAATCCGCCGTTTGCTCAGTTTAGCAAGTGAAAGATACATCCATTCAAACTTTCAGAGCATTGTGCCACTGTGTCGGAGAAGGCTGTCACAGAACGATTAGTGCGGTTGGCTACGTACGGTGTGAAAGAAGTTAAACATACAGTGAAACCTTGGATTGCGAGTAACTTGGTCTGCGAGTGTTTTGCAAGACGAGTAAAAATTTGTAATAAATAATAATTTGATAAACGAGCGAGATCTTGCAATACGAGCAGTACGTACAGTATACGCTTTGTCTGCCGAGCGTCACGTGATCACAACTGAGTCAATGGTTCTTCTCTCTCTCTCGCTGCGGGATTGTGGGTAATCATCTCCCATGCTTGGTCTCAGTCGGCGTGCCTCACTCGTTTAGTCAACATCCGTGCGAGCGTATACTGTTTACTATAGTACTATAGTGTTGTGATGACGTGTATACTGTTTACTATAGTACTATAGTGTTGTGTCCAAGTGTAGTGACTGTTCTTTAGTAACTGTACTGCAAGTGAAAGTCGTCCTACACGATAACCCTCTACCTCTCCTCTCTCTCGTCTCCCTCACACCAGCCACGATTAAATGTAATTAATACATTTGATTACTTTATATTAAATTTAAATAAAAATCTAAAAAGGTATTTTGTATTAATCATTTTTATATGAATACAGTATTTTTGGGTTGTGGAACGAATCATCTGAGTTTCCATTATTTCTTATGGGGAAATTCGCTTTGATATACAAGTGCTTTGGATTACGAGCACGTTTCCGGGACGAATTATGCTTGCAATCCAAGGTTTCACTGTATATACAATTGAGAGATTCCCTGGACTGTTATCAATACTAAGGGTGCTGCAACTTCTCCCATGCACCCCTGCTGCAATTGATGTGTGTAGCGTGGCACTCCAGAATTATTAGATTCTACATTTTAATTCTCAGAGCTCGAATTTTTCTCACTTAAGTTTGTGATGGTGTTTTGTGCAAACTTTGGTGACCAGGCTGAGATCCATTACTCACTATACTTGAGAAACCGTCTTAAAATCATGGGCATCTGAAACCTGGATTTGAACCTAGAATCTCAAATTCTCGTGTTTGATATGTAAACCCCTTTGTCAAGGTGCCTCACTTCTCTAAACCAGCTTATAAGACGCTACAAATCTTAACAACGTTCATTGAAGCTCTGTCGTCCCGACAGGTCTGTTCCTTTCACCTGAAGAAGGCCACTTGTGTTGTGGCCGAAACGTCGTGAGAATTTTATTGTTATTTTATTTTATTATTTTATTATTTTATTCTCATTCTAGAATCTCAATGGTTACCAGCTCGATGCTTGGGCCGCTGCGACACACAGCCAGCTCTCACCCGCTGATCGCTGTTGCTTTTAACGTACGGTTAGCGGCTGTTACCTACCGGAGCTCGATGAACTTTTTCTCCTGATAGCGGTTGTTGGTGAGGTATGGGATGTACACTTTGAAGTCGTCCCTGGCGTATTTGTAGACAATGTCACAGATGTCCGAGATGAGGATATCCGAATCAATTCTGTCTCCCAGTTCTGCGATGAAGCTGCAATACAAAACACAGAGGACACACCGTTACTGCGTGTTCACATGCAGAACCAAATCACGCTCAGAATAAGAATATTTATTTACACTGGGAGGAACCCAATGAGCTACAAATCTCTCTTTCACAGATGTCCAGTAGTTCACTACCAGTTCACGGGACATTAGCGCAAAAAACAAATCTTCTCTACTGCGTGTTGCAATACAATACAAGTTACATTTAAACTTGATTTGAAGCTTTCGTGACTGCACACAAACTGTGCCTCTGTGTTGTCTCGCTCTGCCTGTGTGTCCCCGTGTCTGTGTTTTGTCTCTCTCTCAAATTTAGCAATCTTTGGAAGACCGTAATCAACCAGGTAAGGTGCTGACTGTTGTGTTAGCCGACTCTCTGTGTTGTATTGCATTGTACTTCTAAGTTCACTAGGTTTGTTTTCTACCTGATGACGATTGCTTGTGTTGCAATCGAAACGTCGTATTATATTATTTAATTTATTTTCTTTCTACATTACTTTACCGAAAGAACCAAAGAGTAAGTTACATTTACACAGCACCTAAGTGCGATCGGATCTGCAGATGCTTCACTTGGAAAGAAGAAAAATGATCTCTATGCACACGAAGACAAATGGGGGTTTTAAGTTTTGGCCCGAACAAGGGCAGCAGAGCCTTAATCGTACAAATTTCAAGAGGAAGGGAATTCCAGACAGCGGGAGCAGAAGCTGACGAGGAGCAATCTCCCGTGGAGGTTGCAGAGATAGGAACAAGAAGATTGGACTTCCCACGGAGGTTCCAACCTCCCGCGGAAGTTGCACAGATAAGCAACCGAATTTTGGAACAGCCACAAAAGTTATAAACCGGTGGTCGAGCCTCTTTAGCCATTCGACAGCGCCGGCTGCGAGCTGACGAATGCGTCCTGCCTACTGCTGATCGATGGTCCTGACGTAGCAGGCAGCGGGGTTGACCGTACGCGCCGTCGGTCGTTTGTTGCGCATCACAAGTCCGCGGGGCGGAACCGTCGTTTGTCTTCCACCGGTGCAGGAGATGAGAGCATCGGCCGCGTGATGTCCCCAAGGTTCGCCGTAGTTCCAACAACGCAATCGCGTTATTAAACATTCTCACTACCTGGGTGGTATCTAATACAACCGCTCAAGTAACCGTCTGCAAGATTACGATTATACAGCAGAAACTGGATACAAGCACATCTTGTAATAGCAGCACAGTTCTGATATATGCAACACATCCCGACATTACACTAGTGAGGGGGAAGGTGCATGTTAACTTCTGATGCAAGCACACTGCTTTGTTTAAGCACAGCTGGCCTTGCTGCTAAGGGGATGTGCTTATATCCAGCTTCTAGCAATTGAACTATTGGGTAAGAGAGGCGATGCATTGGCTAGCATGCTGTGCTATCAAGCCGGCGATCTGAAGGGTGGGGCATGAAGACTCTAGCCACACTTAAAATGCTTTTCCGATTGAACACAACGCAGATTTAAAAAAAAAGATGAGTTATTCAAATCACCTGCATGGGCTGCATTTTCCAGATCGGCAAGTTTAGTTTTCTCATTGCCAAATGAGGTCCAGTGCGGTTGATGACAGGATAACTACATTGTGTTGCGGTTAACGCTGTTGCCAAGGTCACCGCGCCACAATGCGTGGAGGAAGTTAATGGTTCAACCACTGACATTGCCTGGAATAATACAAAACCCGAGAGACACGATTTGCAGCAAGAGGAATTGGCTATGCACAATGCACAAACACCTCGCTCACGTCAGCAGAACACTTTTTTTTCTTCGCTGAACATATATTGTAAGGGGTGGAGTGGTGGCACAGTGGTTAGCACACTGCGCTCCAAACCTGGGCGACATCTGTGAAAAAAGATCTTCGTAACTCATCAAATCCTTCCGGTGTAAATAAATATTCCGATTCGGACATCTGTTTGAAACTTTGGCAAGTGATATTATCCACCAGGTGCTGGGCATCCCGCCCCCTCATTTGATGCTACTGCCAAATAAAAAAAAATCACGGGAACAGTAACCATGGTAGTAGTAGTATTAGCGAATGAAGAGTTGCAAAAAAAAGTGAGTGCCTGCTGGTGAATGAGTGACTGGAGTGAATAAGCGAGCTACATTTTTTACTTGATTGTACGTGTGTGTGTTGAAACTTCTTTCGAAACGCATGTAGCCAACCGTGCTAATCAGAGGTGCTGGGAAGGATAACAAACTAAAATTGTATGGATGTGCCCGTTTCTCTAGACATCACGATGACCAATGCGGTATTTTTGTCGGACTCGTCGATATATGATGCCCATCCTCACTCACGCCGGTACCTTTCCGTGACTTTCTTGACATCAGCGATGCTGGAGTAGAGCGCTTTCTTTGATTCCATGTTCAGGGTTTGGTTGAGCTCTTCGGATGTCATGAAGAAATCCGTGACGATGCTAATGCTCTTCAGGTAAGAGGCTTCTGATGTCAGCACCTCGAACATGGCCTGCACAAAACCGGGAGAGCGAGCGAGATAATACATCGCCCACGGATCGCATCTCGCTCCACAATCCGTACTACAATCATCACATCCTCACACCACAACTCAGATTACATCTCAACACACTACTCACAATACATCACACCCCACAATCTATATCTATATAAAAGTAAAAAATTGTCTGTTGGTTTGTGTCTGTGTGTGTTCGCGCGCTTGCGAAGGATTTGGCTCTCCAACGGTGGGGTTTAACGTTAAATAAAAATAGCCAGGTACCACGCCGTAAGCCCCGCCGTGAGCAAGCTCTATTCCTTTTTCACATCTGCCAACTTTTATTAAGTTTAATGAGTGATTTAGTGCGATTTTTGTGCGCTCTTTATTTATTTGTGACGCGTGCACGGCCATACCAACTCACGCGCCTTTGGTGGGGGGGACGGCCCATGCCAAGTCGCACGCCTTCGGTGGGAGTGAGGGGGACATTTTCTTTCGCGTTAGAAATACACTAAACGCTGAGCTTAAATCTTCACTGTGCGATGTCCCCCGCCACCCCGATGCGTGTAGTTATTACTAATATATAGTCAATAAATTATACCACTATAGGCCGTAGATATTACTGCAGAGCGGCCGGGGAGATCGTGGCTGGGGGGCGGGGGGGGGGGTGGCAGGGGTAGCAGCCTAGCCCCAGCCTGCCAAGGTGCCACCTCGGCCGGCTGGACAATCTAGGCGAGGCCGGAGGCTCTGCGCGGGGCTAGGCCTCACCACGCCACTCTGTCAGGTGAGTACTTTGTGCTATAGAGTCGATAAATACTGCTATAGAGTCAGCATGTACTACTGTAGTGATAGCAGGTACCACCACAGTCGGTATGCACTGCTGTAATCATAGCAGGTACCACCACAGTCAGTACACACTGCTGTTAGATTTGTAAGAGTAGTTTTGAAATATTTTTTTTTGGCCCAGGCAACGCCGGGTATATAAGCTAGTCCATAATACAATGACAACGCGCAATTCACGTCAGACTTCACACCACAATTAATGATACATGTCACGATTCGCAACACTGAAGTAGCACATCACACACCACAATTCACATCACAATGCTCAGCATGGTGGCTTCATGCCCTGGACAAATGCGACGTTACCAATGTCGTATTGGTCATGGAGGTTGATTCACCATACTTCACCACACTAGTCAATGCGGGTTGGTTTTTAAACACTCGCATTCACACGAGCTGCGAGACGCCGAGACACTCTCCTGCTCACGGGAAATGTTTGCATTTGGCCACATCATCAAGGCAAGCACCCACAACGAAATACCAATGCCCTCGTAGCCTACCCAGAGCACGTGTACACCAAAGCCTGTGCAAGCCACTCTGGGGTTCTCAACAAGGCCGTGTGTGGCGGGATCAAATTCACCATTTTCTTAAACTTTTTGCATTTTACCAGGTAAGGCCCACCCGAGCTATACAGCTCTCTGTCAGAGGCGACCTGATCACAAATGATCGCTCAACGAAGCGGCTTATCACGCGGAAATTCGTCGCAGCCAAATACTCTTAAAACGCACGGCGATTCTCAACTTGGGGGGAAAAACCGGAGAACCCGGAGAAAAATCCACGCGACCGCGGGGAGAACACGCAAACTTAAAATATACAGCAGGCGTCAAGGGTCAGCATCGAACCCACAACCTCCCGCACGGAAGGCGAGGTCGTTAACGTTTCACCGCCGTGACGCCACACGCGCGCGACGAGGCGACGTTGTACCTCCTGCTGCTTCTTGGCGTCGCCGCTCAGCGACGCGAGGACGCCGCTGGCGATCACGTGCGGGAGGTGCTGCCACAGCATGCGCTGCTGCTGCAGCTGCAGCAGCGCAACGCTCTCGCGACGTTCCTCGTCCCTCCCCCGCGACTCCCCTGCTCCGAGGTCCGGCTCGGGGAGCTCGTACTCGTCGTCGCTGTCAAACTCGTCCTCGGACTCGCTGATCGTCCCCGAGGAGGAGGAGGGCAGCCGCCGCTGGTGGTTGATTTTGCGGTTCAGCGTCATGCGGTGGTACTCCTGGTACAGCGGCGCTGCATGCCGCGATCGGTGCCACCGTTAAGCCGTCGCCGTCGCCGTCGCCCCCCAAACCATTGATATCGGCATCGTCACCAGGCTATCACTGTGATTACAGCATCACTTGTCGCTGTGCAATCGCCATCATGACAGCATCACCCAATCGCTGTGCAATCATTACACCGTCGCCACCTGTTACACCATCATCATCATTGTACCGTGGCCACCATTATGCCATCGCCATTATTAAACCCCCAGCATTCCTATTGGCATCGTCACCGTCCTATCACTGCGATTACAACAGCAGCCACTGCTGTAAAATCGCCATCATCACACCGTCACCACCTGTAACACTCTCACCGTCATTGTATAATCGTCATTATACTCTCACCATCACTCTACCATGGCCATCATTATACTTACACGACCATTACTGCTATTATACCCATCATCATTGTACAATCGCGATCATTATACCATCACCATCCCTAAACCATCCCCATAATTTTCTCCCATGTGCACCATAAACAGCCTTCATTTTACACTGCTGGATGAGGGCCACTCTGTGTCTCTACGTCGCTCTATGTAACTCTGCGTAACTCTCTAACTCTCTGCAACTGCAATTTCCTACGACTACCACCACTCGGAATCAGAAACTTTATTGAGGCTGGAGGAGGGATCCGATGAGCTATCAAGTTCTTTTTCACAGGTGTCCACAGTATGGGCGGGTCAGCAAGTTACAACAGCAACCAATACACAAAAACAACTAGAGGAGAGCAAAATAGAGGTCAATGGTAAGTCACCAAATATCAAGAAAAAAATACATTTTTTTTTATATACACACAAGTCCGAATTATCAAGCTTGGGCAAGGCAACAAAAACAATAAAACTGTCCCAGGCCACGCCAAGACAACACCATGCAATAGTAGTCCGTCAATAAAATGGCACATTGAGTTATCGATACACGGGGGGTAAGGATCAAAGTTGGAGTCTTGGGCCATGGGCGTATTTGGAATAGAGCGGCTTGGTGGCCTTACCCAGCTGAAGGAGTCCGAGTCTGGGCACACGCGTCACGATTTTGCTTTCCCAAAATTGTCCTCCATACGAGGGTGTTTACACGTTTACAATTCTGACCTTTGAAGGGCCATTTATATTAAAAAGAGGGTTCTGCCTTCCACAGCAAAGGCTGTGTAATAATTACTTTTTGTTACATCCTCTTCACGTAGCTTTGAAGATGGATCGCTCTGGGTTCCATTACTGTAGCGCACCTGGCGTGCAAATGATTACCCACAATCCTGGCAACTGCCCCACCGAAATCTGCCACTGTTTTTTTTCGCGGCGAGAGCTTTGTTCTACATCACAGATTCCTACGACATCATCCAAAACAGATGTTGAAGTTCCTCTCAATTCATAATAAGCCATTGTACCGAGGTGGAAAATAACTCTTGAAACTCAGTGGATAAAGCATTGAATCAAGTGCATACGGAGTGTAACCACGTGTTGAATAAAGGAACTTTATAATAATACCAACCGAGAAAGGGTTGCTTGTGGAACTTAAGCATATTCTGCTTTTTTTTAAATGCTGAATTGTGGCCCCAAGTTTAACTTGGAATGTTTTTATTTTATGTTATTTTTAAAAACTGCGGCTGAGCACATCCCCAATGGCCCAAAAACGTCGAGCGGCCAGCAACGAACAGCATTGCTTGAATCAAGGTAATAAGAGGCTGGAGCGGGACTTGCAAAGCCGAGCTGTGTGATGGAAGGAGCAGTGGGAGGAGAGTGTGCTGACCTGCAGTGGTGTGGTGGTTGAAACAGTGTGGATGAAGCAGATTCGTATCCGTGTGTGCATTTTTGGGAACACCGAGCGAGCTCGTGTCTACTCCGAGTGTCCTCCGAGGACGTGAGTGGTTCTCACACACGGCCTCTAAAGCACCTCCGATTTAGCACGGCTAGCTACGTGCGGTGCGAAAGAAGTTCAACATTCATGCACACGAGCAGCTGGTATTCAAACTTTCGACATAGATTAAGCGTTGCTACTCAATTCAGCTCCGCACCAATGAGAGACGGTGTGGTTTGTTACATGTTTCAATCGAAGCTATCCGGGGTGCTAATTACATGCTGTATGTTGACTAAAAAGTGAGCGAATGATCAGTGTTCAAAATGGCATACCAATGGTATGTCTGGGGGATTAGTGGTGCAGTCATTAGCACACATCACTAACCACTGCACCACTGCTCTCATGTAACAACTAGTTGGTGCTCTATTACAGGCTTATACAATATACACAGTATACAGAATACGTACGATAAGGCCATGTAGATTGCCAATATACAACTTAATGGGTTTTCTTTGTATTAAGTGGATTCCAATGATTACAAACGTTATTATAATCCACGGTCATTTGTAAATTGACTGCTGTATAAAGGCCTGTTCATGCTGTACTGGTCATGGGGGTTGGTGAGTGTAGGTTGGTGAAGACGGGGAGCTCCAGGACTGGTTCAGATACCACTCGACACTGAGGATAGCCATGCTACGGAACCAAACTTACATTAGTCGGGTTCGGAGCACAGTGCGCTAACCACTGCGCCAACCGCTCCCTGCATTCAGAGTATACTCCTCGTGCCTATTCAAGACTTGAAGAAGCACTCATCTCACTAACGCTGACATCTGTGATAAAGAGCTTCATAGCTCATCGGATTCCTCCAGTCTAAATAAGGATTCCGATTCTGAAATTTAACATTTCCATAGTAGGACACAGTCTCTCTCCGTTGAGTAACCGCTGATGACTTCCCCCCCCCCCCCCCCCAAAAAAAAAATGTGCACTTCCTATGGAACTTAAAATAAACTCAGATTACTTCTGCAACATCTGGATGGTCGGGCTCCAGCAAGATTACGCACGCACACGCGCGAACACTCATCAGGCAAACGTTTAATTCCTCATTCGTCGCTTAGAATAAGCCCAAGGACATTCTCTGCCCAACAGCTAGAAAGTCTAGCTCCAAGAGCAGGGCGAAATTAAACTGAAATTTCTGCTCCAAAAATAATAATAATAATTTAATGATTTACATTTCTTTGTAAGGCGCCTTCCACAAATGTCTCAAGGCGTCTTGCAAGAATGAGAGGCCGAGAGAGACGGAGAAGACGTGGTTTTAATAATCTTTGGTTCTTTCGGTAAAGTCACGTAGATGAAAAATAAAAATAATGAAAATCATAAAATGAAAATAACCTAATTAATAACCAAATTAAATCACCTGATGACGGACGCTTGTGTTGCGCCCGAAACGTCGTGATTTAATTTAGTTATTTTCATTTGATCATCGTCATTATTATTTTTTTATTTTCCATCTACGTGACTTTACCGAAAGAACCAAAGAGTATGGATCCTTGCAGTCACGGAAACTTCAAATCTAGAATTAACGTGGTTTTAAAGGCGAGAGAGACTTAAAAGTATCCACATTGTCGGAGAAACGAATTTCCCATGTTGGTGAATTCCACAACCTTAGCGCAGACACAGCAAACACCCGCTCACCCCAGGAACGCAGCTGGAATCGAGGTATGCATAAAGGGCGGAGTCTGCAGATCTTAGTTGACTTGGCTTGGTAATCTCCACCAACTCAACCATAGTCTCATTAGTATTATTATTATCACTTTCCTTACAACTGCTACTCTGCCAATGTATCCAGGAAGGCCTCACCAATTCAAGAAGAGCCCTGTTAATTTTTTTCGCAATCATCAAGAGCGATGTTCCTGTGTGTAAGTGCAATTGAACAATTTTGCGGGGAATTTTTGTTGGCATTTGGATGTTTGGCCAATTCCAGTTAGAATCTATGTTTTTGTTTAGCTATGTGAAAACACCGGATTAACCCAGAGGAACCCCCCTTTGGACAACAGGGGGGAGAACATAAAAACTTCCGCACAGAAAGGCGCCCGGGTCAGCAGTCGAACCCAGACATCTTCTCGCTGCGGGACGCGTGTTACCACAAAACAAGAGTTATTATTACGCTCGTGTGGTCTGCAAGCCATTGACCGCGCACCGCACGGCCGTGAAACCTGGCCCTGTGGCTTGGAGGATCACCCAGCAGCAGCAACACAACGCTCGATAGTTCAGCATTTTGGACATCTCATGACGTGGGGCCAACATCACTACTCTCTAACAAAATTGGGAAAAGACATCTCTACATCTATCATGCACTCACACTCTCTCTCTCTCTGTTATAAACAGAGACCATTTCTCGGGAAAGAGCCTATTATATATAGCTTTCCCTTTTCGGGAATTTTCATTGACAAATGCATAGATTTTTTTTTTTTAGCAATCTGCACTTACAAACCACAGCTTCACAAATCACTCGTTTTCTACTGAAATACCACCGAACAACCTTTGCTCTTTTGATTTAAAGCTTTCGTGACTGCAGTAATTCATATTCTTAGTTTTTTCGGTAAAGTCACATTGAAGGGAAACAACAAAATAATAAAATATATATAAAAATATATTGTTTTATATAAAAATATATTGTTTTATATGAAAATATATAGTTTTATATATATTTTATTATTTTGTTGTTTCCCTTCAACGTGACTTTATTGAAAAAACTAAGAATATAACCTTTGCTCTGTAATGAAGCTAAGTGTGAAGTTTAAAAATAAAGAATTTGACCATAGAGGAAAAAAACCCTCCAAGACTGATTAACGTTAAGGCACATCCAGGCTGAATCTACAACCATAAACAGATTAAGTTTGTTGATATGTTACAGGGACGGCGGGTCTCGTTTATCCAGTCACCAAGATTATTTTACAAGGGCAATTTACAAGGGAGATCCGTGGTACGTGAGCACAGCGGCAAACAAAAGAAAAACATAAACATCGGTATTGCAGAGGACGAGTACAGGGTCCTTAAGCAATAATCCACAAGTAAAAAAGGAGGCATTTGTTGGCCGTAAACGACCATCAAATACAGTCGATGTTTAGTGGGGGGTTTTTTTGTTAGGCGTGACAGCTGTATTTGGCATCCAGGAAGCTGTGTTTGTAAAGATAACAGGGGTTTGTAACGTGGAGCACTCATCTAATGCCCACAGAGATGTCACAGCCTTTGAAGAGCACTCCAGTGACGCTGAAAGTCAAATGAGAGTTGTAACTGTCATTAATGAAGCTATCAGAGACGCCGGAATGCCCAGCTTAGGGTAAATGGTTACAAGTTACATTTTTACTTGTTTTCTTTAAGATATAACTAAACATTCGCAAAATACTGGAAATCCAAGTTGACAAAAGTTTACGTTTGTCACCAAACCGTACAAATTAACCTGGTACAAGAAGGAGAACAAATATCTGAAATATTTTAAAGCTTCCATACGATGTAAACAAATAACTTGCATACTGTGGTTTTCACACCTGATGATGATTGCTTGTGTTGCAGTCGAAACGTCGTGAGAATTTTATTGTTTTATATTTGTATTTTTTTTGTTTCCCTTCTACGTGGTGACTTTACCGAAAGAACCGAGAATATGAATCCCTGCAGTCACGAAAGCTTTAAATCAAAATATAACTTACACACTCTTTGGATCTTTCGGTAAAGTCACGAAAGCTTCAAATCAAGAATTAACTTACATTTGTTGGCGTGGATTGTGGCACGAGAGTCCATGCGAGGCATAGCAATAGGAGACATTATTTAAACTATTTAGAAGAGTGGCAAAGAAGAGAAAATAGAGGGCCCAATGGACACAATCAAAAGTTGCACTGTGCCATGAACCCAGCAACCTTAGATGGATTCCCGGCCAGTGCTAACATCGGTTGACGAGTGATCTCATCGTTCCTGGGCCAACCCCATTCCGCCACCAAACCCGCACTTACCGATTTGGTGAAGTATGGTCAGTCGACCACCCCCCGCCCCCCCCCCCCCCCCGCCACGAGTGAGACAAGAGTGGGGAGGCATTCATTAAGCAGCGACTTGACCAACAGCTCTAATTCATTATGGTTATTTGTTAAAAGTAATGATGACATTCCATACGGTTTAGGAGCAACAGCTCTCAAACGAACCTGTTTGAAGATAATTCTTCTTTCCTCTCGTTGGAGTTGGGCTCCTGGAGAGAGGTGGATGGATGATTTATTAGAGACCACAGCGCAACTTTAAAGTGTCACGGAGCACAGCGAATTACGTGAATATGCAAGGCCAATACACCTGTTACATGGTCTGAAGTTTCCTTTACCTGGATCTCCTTGGTGAGCCTGGAAATGAGAAGAAGAAAAATTGCCTTGAATGGATGTCCAACCCGTAGCAAAGTGAGCAGTCATTTCAAATATTATGATCATTATCCTCGGTGTTACATTTTTATTTTTATTTAAAACATCCTATCAGAACGATTCTTAACACAGTCACAATCAGGATTATGCAATTTAACACGTTTCACCCGTCAGGTAAGAGTGACGTTTGGGGTTTTCGTGAGGACAGAAGTTAAGAAATGCTAATTAGGTGTACCTAAGCTGAACTTAAGATGAAACATATCACTGGGGGGTTGTGCTGACTAAGTAACAATATGAATAAGCAGACAATCTGCCTGCTCCTTATTAAGGCCGTGTGACCAATGGGATGTGTAAAAAATAATAATTAGGGTTTTTTTTTTTTTACGTGGAAAGATGGATATGTTAAAATAAAATAGCGATTAAAAATTAACGTGATGGCTCATTCCAATACAGACATACCTGGTTTGTATTGCTTCTGTGGCAGGGCAGGGCACTCGAGAGTGGAGGACACCTGAAAATGTGAAGCTTCATCTGTCCATATCTCAGTCGAGTCGCTGGGCATGATGTCGTAATACCACTCTACAAAACGACAGGGCAACGGATATGTCAAAAGATATACAAAACACCCAATTAGTAAACACATAAATGAACACCCTAAAACCTTTTTGTCATACCTCCGCTGGATGAATACCTCCCTATGCCTTATCGGTCATAGGGACAAATCCTCGTGCATTTTGATTCAACACGACTGGCACGAAATAATAAGGAAAAGCAAACAATTAAAAGTTCTCAAAGTTAACGGAGTGTTCGCAATGCTTAGCACAGTTGGAATGGGCCTGGTAACAGACAATTAATTGGGCCCTCCCCCCCCACCATCACAATTTATTCACCCTCCTCTTTGTAGCCTGGCACCTGGGGCCGCTCCGCCCTGTGGGGCCCTTGCAGTTGCAGAGCCTGCACACCCGATCGCTCCGCCATTGACCGCGAGCCGTTCGAATGACGCGAGGGCCTACCAGACTGGCTTTTTCTATCCGAATCCTGAAGGCCCGGTAGGGAAAGTCTCCTGCCGTCACTCGGTGGGATCTGTAAGGAGGGCTCCTTGCTCTTGGCAGGCGTGGGCACGGGTGGATTGGTTCCTGCCGACGTGTGGACACAGCAGAGTGCGCGACAGACTCGATGACATGAATTGAGCTTTCGTGACTGCAGGAATTATTCTTTGGGTTTTTTTTCCGGTAAAGTCACGTAGGAATAATAAAATAACATCATAGTGTACGACGCTTCGATTGCAACACAAGCAATCATCATCAGGTACAGAAGAGCTCATACCTCCCCGATGAAAAAAAACTAAGAATAATTCCTGCAGTCACGAAAGCTCCAAATTCAAGTTTCAACCACCTCTTCGGGGAGGTATGAGCTCTTCTGTACCTGATGATGATTGCTTGTGTAGCAATCGAAACGTCGTACACTATTATGTTATTTTATTATTTCTACGTGACTTTACCGAAAAAAAAACAAAGAAGAAGACTCGATAACATTGGATTTCAAAATCAAACACATTCTAAAAATAGAGTTGCCAATCTGACACCTGGCCTCCCCAGTAATATCTCGCCACGGTGACGAGATGTTAACTACCTCGCCTGGTATACAGGGGGTCGTGGGTTCGATCCCGACCCTGATGCCTGCTGTATATTTGGAGACTGAGTGTTCTCCCCTTGGTCGCGTTGATTTTTCTCCGGGTCCTCTGGTTATTCTCTCCACATTTATAAACGTCATGCATTTCGAGTATTTGGATGCTATGAATGTCCACGTGATAAGCCACTTCGTTGAGCTATCATTTGTGATAGCCAGGTCGCTTCTGAAAAAGAGCTGTATAGCTCAGTGGGCCCTGCCTGGTAAAATAAAAAGTTGAAATAAATAGTAAGTTTGGTCCCACCACACACAGTCTCGTTGAGATGCCCAGAGTGGCTTGCAGAGGCTTTAGTGTACACGTGCTATGGGTAAGGCTACGAGGGCATTGGTATTTCATTGTGGGTGCTTGGCTTTATGGTGTGGCCAAATGCAAACATTTCCCATTAACAGGATAGTGTCTTGGCGTCTCGCAGCTCGTGCGAATGCGAGTGTTTAAAAATGTGGGGAGTGGTCGTGGTGAAATAACAAAAAATAGTTTCAATAGATCATCCCTCTTTTTGACGCAGCAGTCCTGCGAATCCAAATGTCTTCCTGGGACATTCACCATTTCCCGTTCCAAGACGTCTGTTGTCCTGTTCACCGCTGAATCTCGCAGATTGTTTGTTCTCTTACACACCCAGTCCGGCAAAAGTCCGCCTTACAGTTAGCTGGTAGGAGGCTGAACGTACTTACAGCCTACAAAAACACAGGCGTGTCGTCTAAACGTTTCCCGTTCCACAAATTGCACGTGCACATTTGTGCAAAAGGCGAATAATAATTTCATTTTATCTAGCGTCATTCACGCAATTGCATTCCGCAACGCTGCAATGCACAAATGGATGAAAAAATTAAACAATTTAAGAACTCGGATGCAAGCGTTGACACCGAATGTGTTGGACGATGCGAGGGGCCCACCAGATTGGCTCATTTCCTGTGGGAATTGAAGGCCTGGCAGGGAAAGCCTCCTCGCGTCGCCTGGCGGGAACTTTAACGAGGGCTCGCCGCCTCTCTTGGGAGAAATAGGCACGGGCAGCTTTGCTCCTGCTGACGTCAGGACACAGGGAAGAGTGTGGCAGACTTGACTTGACTCACGGTAACATTGGCTGTCAAAAAGAAACACATCCTGCTAGCGCATTAAGCGTAAATAAATATTGGCAAGGGTCAATAAAACGTGTTTTTTACGACATTACAGCAGGCCCAGCGATAACAAGGCTACCTTGGGATGGTATAAAAACAAATATCTCCCTATACATCCTTGACAGACCGTTGGGGTAGGTGCTGTTAGCGAGCACCTATGAAGGCCAGCATAGTACACAGGAGGGTGTGAGTGGCCAGCACTACGCCCGACCGCCTTTGTCTCCCCATGTTTACACACCGCACCAGGTACTCATTTGAGGCAGTCTACTTAGGAGAGGCCCAGGAATGGTTCAGATAATCATCACTGGTGATGGCCGTGAGCGGGAATCGAAATCGGGTCGCCGGGTTCGTAGCACAGCGCGCTAACTGCTACACTACCGCTCCACACACACAAAAGTCAAAGATCCCCCGTATAGCCTTAACAGACTGTAGGGGCAAGTGCTGTTAGCGAGCACCTATGAAGGCCGGAACGGTACACGAGGGGGTGGGTGGCCAGCACCACGCCCGACCGCCTTTGTCTCCCCAGTGGCGACGTTTACACACTGCACCAGGTACTAATTTGAGGCTGAGTCGACCTAAGGGAGGCCCAAGACCGGTTCAGATAATCGTCACTGGTGGTGTTGGCCGTGAGCGGGAATCGAACCAGAGTCGCCGGGTTCATGGTGCAGCGGGCTAACCGCTACACTATCGCTCCCACTACCGCTCTACACACACAACCGCTACACACACACACACACAGCATCACATGCACATTTGCATACACCAACTATAGTTGCCATGTGTCCTGGTTTTCCCAGGACAGTCCTCTTGTCACGGTAGCTGCTGTAAATCTTCACGGGACATTGCAAGCCACGGTTTTGTTCAGCTGCCAAATATTCACCACTCAAGACAATACATTTTACAAAGACATTCTTGAAGGCCGACAGGTTTCACTCCAGGTTCGAGCTTAAAGTTCTACATGACTTTAGGTCTCGTGATAAACACGTATAAATATACAATCCCTCCATAAGTTAACAAAGAAACGTATTCACGATCGAGTATGCCGCTAGAGACGAGGCTACGAACAGAACACGCTACATGTCATCAGAAGATGGGTACATGCATATATCCAGACAGGTGATGCTGAATTTGGCAAGTACCCTCTCTAAAACCAATGTTCCACTGAGACCACCATCCCGACAAAGGGGATGAAACAAGAACCGCTTTGCTTTGTGGGGTGACTACGGTAGTGTGCAGGCACTGCAACTGCACAGGGCCTCACAGGATGGAGCGGCCCAGGTGCCATAGAAATGTGTAATTTCCGCAACTAGCTTAAGACTACGGAACAGACCGTGCACCGTTCAATAGCACAGAGCGCGGAGATTATGTAGGAAGACTGCACACGGCTGCCCTATGCTCAGGGTCACGATGTTTTGTGCGGTGGTAGTGATTATTGGTCAGTAGGCCAGACAACCCACCTTTTTTGGGTGGCAACGCAGGGCAACGGACAAGCATTCTAGGAACCTCCTGCGTAGAGAGCTCTGGTGGGTTGTGCTGATCATCCTCGCTGAAGTCACTGGCAAGCTCAAGCTCTGTCGGGAAATAGAAATGCACAGAGCTGCGGCACTATCCACATACACACAGCTGCGGGGCTAGCTACACACACACACACAGCTGTGACACAAGCTACACACACACTCACAGCTGTGACACAAGCTACACACACAGCTGTGACACAAGCTACACACACTCACAGCTGTGACACAAGCTACACACACACACAGCTGTGGCACAAGCTACACACACAGCTGTGACACAAGCTACACACACTCACAGCTGTGACACAAGCTACACACACACAGCTGTGGCACAAGCTACACTCATAGCTGTGACACAAGCTACACACACACACAGCTGTGACACAAGCTACACACACTCACAGCTGTGACACAAGCTACACACACACACAAACAGCTGTGGCACAAGCTACACTCACAGCTGTGATACAAGCTACACACACACAGCTGTGGCACAAGCTACACACACAGCTGTGACACAAGCTACACACACAGCTGTGACACAAGCTACACACACAGCTGTGACACAAGCTACACACACAGCTGTGACACAAGCTACACACACAGCTGTGACACAAGCTACACACACTCACAGCTGTGACACAAGCTACACACACAGCTGTGACACAAGCTACACACACTCACAGCTGTGACACAAGCTACACACACTCACAGCTGTGACACAAGCTACACTCACAGCTGTGACACAAGCCACACACACTCACAGCTGTGACACAAGCTACACACACTCACAGCTGTGACACAAGCTACACACACACAGCTGTGACACAAGCTACACACACAGCTGTGACACAAGCTACACACACAGCTGTGACACAAGCTACACACACAGCTGTGGCACAAGCTACACACAGTCACAGCTGTGGCACAAGCTACACACAGTCACAGCTGTGGCACAAGCTACACACACAGCTGTGACACAAGCTACACACACAGCTGTGACACAAGCTACACAGTCACAGCTGTGACACAAGCAACACACACACAGCTGCGACACAAGCTACACACACAGCAGTGACACAAGCTACACACACTCATAGCTGTGACACAAGCTACACACACTCATAGCTGTGACACAAGGTACACACACTCATAGGTGTGGCACAAGCTACACACAGCTGCGACACAAGCTACACACACACACAGCTGCGGCACAAGCTACACACACACACAGCTGCGACACAAGCTACACACACAGCTGTGACACAAGCTACACACACTCACAGCTGTGGCACAAGCTACACACACTCACAGCTGTGACACAAGCTACACACACACACACAGCTGTGACACAAGCTACACACACACACACAGCTGTGACACAAGCTACACACAGCTGTGACACAAGCTACACACACAGCTGTGACACAAGCTACACACGCTCACAGCTGTGACACAAGCTACACACACTCACAGCTGTGGCACAAGCTACACACACTCACAGCTGCGGCACAAGCTACACACACAGCTGTGACACAAGCTACACACACAGCTGTGACACAAGCTACACATACAGCTGTGACACAATCTACACACACACAGCTGTGGCACAAGCTACACACACACACAGCTGTGACACAAGCTACACACACACACAGCTGTGACACAAGCTACACACACACACAGCTGTGACACAAGCTACACACACACAGCTGTGACACAAGCTACACACACTCACAGCTGTGACACAAGCTACACACACTCACAGCTGTGACACAAGCTACACACACAGCTGTGACACAAGCTACACACACAGCTGTGACACAAGCTACACACACAGCTGTGACACAAGCTACACACACAGCTGTGACACAAGCTACACACATACACAGCTGTGACACAAGCTACACACATACACAGCTGCGGCACAAGCTACACACACTCACAGCTGCGGGGCTAGCTACACACACTCGGAGCTGCGGCGTGGAAATATAAATTAAACCCGCCACCGTCCGACACATCCAATTAGTAAGGTCGCAATTTTCAGTTCATTCATCGCGTTCAAGCAACCGATCGACGCGGCTCCACCTATCCAACCGACTTGATTGACAGACTGTCCCAGACGTGACGGAACGCACCCTCGCCGCTGTCGCGGTCACCGTCGGGCGTGGCGGTTCGAACGTCCTCGTAGTCGTCGCTCTCCCCTCCGTCGGCATCCTCGCACGTCTGCCCCCGTCCCACCGTCTCGAGGTCACGACCCTGGGCCGCGTTGCCGTTGGACGGGACTCCGTCCCTCCCGCCGGCTGGCGGCGTCGGCGGCGTCGGCGGCGGGGAAAGTGCCCGAGGGTGGAGATCGGCGTGGAGGTGCTGGCGAGCTCGCGGCGAGTCAACGGGGGCGTCCGCCACGTCTTCCGCGGCGGGCTCTGTCCGCGTGCTCTGCTCCGGTTCCGGCGGGTTGATCTGAGACTTGCGCCGGATCTGGCCTTGTCCTGAGTTTTAAATGGTCCGTACCAAAGGCACACCACACACACACACACGAACATCGATTTGTTCATGATAAGCCATTACTTTTTAAGGAAAGAAATCCGGCCGAGTCTGAAGACAAGTGCACGAGGGATCTGCAATGAGATGTTATGGAAATTCCATCTTACAAAAATGTAAATAATTTATTTGTCCCAAAAAAGTATAATTGAGTGTATATTATGTATTTATTTTAGGTGGAATCCCCCATTAAGATATTCGACCAATTCCTTGTTAACATCATTTTTGTTTCTAATGTATATTGAGGAAAGCATCAATGAGTGAGGAGGAAAATTAAGAAGAGGAAGAGAATCGGGTCTTACTATTCCTGCGGATTTGACTCATATGGGGCTTGGGTTTGATGCTCGGTTTCCTCCGAGCGGGGCTGGGCACCGGTTGTTGTTGTTGTTGTTGCTGCTGCTGTTGTTCATTTCTCCCCGGGAAATTAGTCTCGACGCTGTTCATCGCCTCGAAGTGAGCCCTCAGCTTCCTCACAGCCATGTCGTTGGACTCCAGGATGCTTCCACTCATCCCGGAGAACTCCTAAAACAACAACGACAGCAACAAGTGCAAATCACTTACAATTAGTCATCGTCATCAGCAGCAGCAGTATCATCATTTTGCATTTAAAGACTTGGGAAAATATCTTCCGATAAGGTCTCTGTGAATTAGGGCACCGCGATGTTAACTACCTCGCCTGGTATACAAGAGGTCGTGAGTTTTATCCCGACCCCACCGCCAAGCTGTATATTTGGAGTTTGCATGTTCTTCATGTGGTCGCGTGGATTTTTCTCCGAGTCCTCTGGTTTTTTTTCCCCCTCCACATTTAAGAACATGTATTTGATTGCTAGAAATTTCCACATAAGCCACTTTCGTTGATCTATCATTTGTGGCCAGGTCACTTCTGAAAAAGAGCTACATCGAGCTCACTGGGCCTCAAATGGTAAAATAAGATATGGAGTAGTTTAAAATTGCCGTGGAGAGAGTTTAACTGCATGCCTAACTTCTGATTGATGTTGTAGAATTAAGTGCATTAAAAATGTGTTTAGTTTGTTGTCCCTCCCCTACACCTCCAATGAGCACGATTGGCTACGTACGGTAAGAAAGAAGTTCACAGTCTGCGGCTCATCACTGTTTGGCCAGTTGAGCAGGAGACTCAAGCCAGAAACGTTCTGTAAAGCTTAAAACTCATACACATGGCACCTTCATGATAGCCTTCGTCCCGTAAGATCGGCACGACAACCGAATGCAACGATTGTTACTTACGTCGCTATTTAAAAGACACTTTGTCAGACAGGATACTGTCGACTTAACGCAGAGAGAAAAGAAGCCAACTTGAACGTGTTGAGTTGATGATGAAGAACAGGCACCCGGTAGAAATGGACGCATACGGTATTGTGAAGTAGGAAGAGTGAACATGACGTACAACTTACAAAGATTTTTCGATTTAAAGCTTTCGTGACTGCAAGGATTCATCTTCTTTGGTTCTTTCGGTAAGGTCACGTAGAATGAGAATAAAATAATAAAATAACACAATAAAATTCTCACGACGTTTCGGCCACAACGCAAGCGGCCGTCTTCAGGTGAATGGTACAGAGCTGTCGGGACGACAGAGCTTCAATCTCTGTGACCTTACCGAAAGAACCAAAGAAGAACTTACAGAGTCAAATTGCATTCCTACAGTGTGACAATAAATTGTCATCATTCGCCATCATGATCAACCCACTGCTGGATGCAGAGCTCCCCAAAGGCGTCACATGGAATGGCATTTCACTCGATCTTTATTCATACAGCGCACTTAACATCCAAGGGAAATCTACATCAAATAAAAATGCATGCAGTATTAACAACCAACAAATAAAAAAATATGGACCACAAGCCATTTGGTTTATAAAAAAGGCAAAATAGCCACGATTAAATGTGTTTTTTTAATCGCCAGGATAGACAATGATGCATTTCAGTTGGAGAAACTGCCATGGCCAGTTCAGTGGTTGCTTAAGAAGCTCCCCTCAAACATTTTCCATTCACGATTGCAAACTAAACATTACATTTGTGAGATTTACTCTGACGGTGCTGGCAACGGTGTCAAACAAAATGCATTTCCTCTATGACAGTTCATTCGTGGGTGTCCAAGCATAACTTGTGTAATATCCCTTTATATATATAAAAAAATAAAACTTTACTTACCGTGTGTGGCCGTCCAAGTCGAAACATGAAGAGAACTCTGTCGTTTTAACGGCACAGCACGGCTTAAATACCCCATCACGCAGAGGGGGGGGAGGGGGGCCCATTGCTTTCCTGACTCGTAAACGCGGAAAGCAATCACAACGAACCGCCGCTTCTCTTTCCTTTGTTGTCCTTCGCCCCCCACTCTGGTTGGTTACGAAAGAAGTTCAACATACGTAGACGCCCCTCACTGCCCCCTGTGTCGCCTTAACAAACCGGGGAAAGTGCTGCTAGCGGAGCACCTATGAAGGCCGGCACGGTGGCACACGACGGGGTGGTCGTGTGGCCAGCACCACGCCCGGCCGCCTTGGTCTCTCTCGCGGCGATGTTTACACACCGCGCTGGGCACCCGTTTGAGGCCGAGTGGACCTAGAGGAGGCCCGAGACCAGTTCAGACAATCGCCGCTTGTGTTGGCCGCGAGCGGGGAGCGAACTCGGGTCGTCGGGTTCGTAGCGCAGCTCGCCGAGCGCTGCGCTTACCGTTCAACGTGCATACACAATGAGCATTCGAAACGTGCTCAAGCAGTTCAACAGCAAGAGAAATACTACTCGCAGCAGACTGGCGGATGTGAGAGTATCAGCGTTTCAAACTCAAGTTGCTTCATAGATGTGGCTGTGATAAATACTCGTAAGGGCAGCACGAACCGTGCGTCTGTGCGGATCGTGCGCAGGGCTCCTGGTTACCGACTGCGTTTGTGTCATTTTTTTCTCATTCCTTGATTTTTTTGTTCGGAAAACAATGGAGGCGTGCTTTATTTGGGTTTTTTTGTTGTCGTTTTCGTCCGATTTCCTTTTCCTGTGACATTCGAAGCACGCGTCCGCACTCGCCCGCACTCGCCGTTTGCATCACGAGCTACGTAACTGTGATCACAACCAAGATCGGTACTCTAAAACATTCTGAACCATCGCAGGACGCTCACGGTATAGAGCGCCTTAGCAGTTTATTGGGCCCTTCCCTGCTGCGATAAACAAAATCGAAATCTAATTTCAGCGAGAAGATTCCAGAAAGCTATTCGAGGAATTATTTTGGAAAAGGTGCATCCCTCTCGATTTCGTTTGCCCTCGTGAGTTTTTTTACATTTTCAATGAAAACCACCAATCCCATTCATGTAAACCTGCTCATAGGTAGTACAGGCTCCATACCCGTCAACCCATCACGGTGTTACCCCGCATTCCTGTACAGGGAAATTGAGTTTTCATGTCCGTAACGGCGTGCGCGGCCGTTTCAATACGGCCAAAAACAATAATAGTTCGTCTATTTGTGTTGTGCATCTCCCTTGCGTTTGTACTTTGTAGGATGAACGTTGAGATTTATAAGGGCACGGGGTGACCAATGAGGTCTGAATTGGTCCGTGATAAGGTAGGCAACGGGTTTGACGGGTATGCAGTAAGAGGTGCGATGACGAATATCTAAAACGACGTAAATCGAAGGTAGCTAACAGGGCAGGAGGAATAGGTGGTGGTGGAGGCGGCAAAGGCCGAGGAGGCGACGGGTCCGAGAGAGGACGATGGGCAAAGCTGCCAGCGTCGCGAGCGTGGGTTGGAGGCGACGCAGGTCGGGGTGGGACGTCATCAATACAAGTGACCACGTGCTTGCTGCGAAACGACGTCGCGACAAGGGGGAGAGACGTCAACCGTGAGCAAGGGAACCAAATCGATTGGTTTTTGAGGTGTGGTCCAGGTGCACAGAAAAGCGATTGAACCGGTCGCGGTTCGATCTTGACTTAAAGCTTTCGTGACTGCAGGAATGGGTGCAGCCCGCAAGGTCATAAGATCGGAGAGCGGCCTCAACGAGAAGGGTGCGGAGGTGGCCATGTTAATATTAACACCAAATTTTAAACCTTTAAACCAGTCCTGCCTCAGAAGCTTTCCCCCTCTTTTTTTCCTCCCGATGACGATGATGATGATGATCGCATTTTGTGTTGTGATCGAAACGTCGTTAGTTTTTATTTATTTTATTTTCATTAATTTGAAACTACCTACATGACTTTACCGAAAGACCCACAGATAACCGTTATGGTTCAATCGGCTATGGTTCAATCGGTTCACAATTGGTTTCGATTAACCGTTTGCAGGAACCGATTTTAAATCGGTTTAAATATGCTCTATTTTGCAAAATAAAGACGCCCCCCCCCCCCGCTTCCAACCCGTGCAGCGGACATTCCAGCGTAGGCTTATAAGGGAGAGGCATTTTCTCCGGCTATTTTTTCCCAGCATTGCTTAGCAAATATGCCGCGTGTCTTCCGCGTGTCTTGCAACACAGAGCAACGGCGCTTGCTCGAATCGCTTCAAGCACGCGACGTCTCTCTGCGCCTGCGGCAAGCTTGGAAGAAGTGGTGAGACGGAGATACACAGAGGGAGATACACAGAGGGAGATGAACAGAGGGAGATGCACAGAGAAAGAGAGATGCACAGAGGGAGATGCACAGAGAGAGATGCACAGAGAGAGATGAACAGAGGGAGATGCACAGAGGGAGATGAACAGAGAAAGAGAGATGCACAGAGGGAGATACACAGAGAGAGATGAACAGAGGGAGATGCACAGAGAGAGATGCACAGAGAGAGATGCACAGAGAGAGATGAACAGAGAAAGAGAGATGCACAGAGGGAGATGCACAGAGAGAGATGAACAGAGGGAGATGCACAGAGGGATATGCACAGAGAGATGCACAGAGGGAGATGCACAGAGAGAGATGCACAGAGGGAGATGCACAGAGGGAGATGCACAGAGGGAGATGCACAGAGGGAGATGAACAGAGGGAGATGCACAGAGAGAGATGCACAGAGAGAGATGCACAGAGAGAGATGCACAGAGGGAGATGCAGTGGCGAAGGGAAACTGGCACGCCTGTTTAAGGCTATACGGGGGATCTTTGTACGTTTGTGTATGTGGCGGAGTGTTTGTGTGACCCTCTGACCCTCATCCCTTGTGCTGCCTGCTGCCTGTGTTGACACCCGTGTAGACCCGTGTGGCTCTGTGTAAAGGAAACCGTTGCCGAGTGACTGCCGGACAACGGTAGAGGTGCGTCCTGGAGCCCCATGGGAGATCACAGCTTTCGGCAATAGTTTTTAACCGTACAAGCCGCCATCACAATATTTATTCCGTTAGTTCGTTTCTCAATCCGCGTGTCCTGGTGAGGGTCGCGATGCGGCCCTCAATATTTAAAACCAGTCTTTTGCTCCAGATGTATGTTCAGTTCAATTACCTGTAGCATCGGGTACAATAATACAGGATTATGAGAGATAGGTGTAGCTTGTACTTCAGTGGTAGTGCCTCATGCCGATTATCTCTGCTCCAAGGCAGCTTAGCAGCGTTAT